GTCTCTTTTGTTAGTAGATTAATTAAGCTTCATAGGAAGTTATGCTTTATGGAAGCTATGAATTGTATGGAATAATCTGAGACATAATAGTCTTTAAGTTTGAAAAATACCAAAAATATTGTAAAATGTAGATTTTAGTCTGTTGAAATGATTTGCGCATTTCATTTTATGTATTTAAATATTATTATACAGTCTTCCAATCATATTCTATTTGTTTACACTTTGCAAAAAGTATGAGACAGTAAATGTAAAACTATACTAGTTATCCATTATAAATACAAAATAATACTTATAGCACAGCATATAGAAGGAAGTATAATTTAACAACCAATAACAATATATGTTGGCCTTCAATGTACCAGTTTGTGCTATTACCAACGATTAATTAATTTTTTGTTAAGAGAAAAAGATTAGGAAAAGATTAATGAACGAAAATGTCTCCTTCAAACCCCATTCTTACTCGACTGACACCACAATAGCACCTAGTCTTTCTGATGTCCATCTTGATAAGAGGTCATAGGCTTTCATGGCTGTGAAAAATAAGTGGCAAAGCATGTTTTATTACTCTTACAATACCAATACACAGTGCATGGGTCAAAAACAATATGGGACAGAATACCACAAGAGTGAGACTAGCATGTTACCATAGAAAGCTAAGAAACATCAAGCTCATTTTATGAATGGCAGAATTGTTTCTGCCTCATGTTCATGTGAGGTTTGAAGTCCTAAGCCTACAAATTCTAATGAGCTGTTTTCAGTTTATTTTGGGAGGGACTTTCTGGAAACTTTCCATGAATCTCTACTCGAATGTTTCCCAATCTTGCCAACTTCAAGATTTGTGGATGCCAGTGCCCAAAATTTTACTGGCTGAGGAATTCTGGGAGTGGAAAGTAATGTTGGGAGCATCATAAAATTATTGAAGCAGGATAAATGGTTCTAATCTCTACCATTCCGGGATTCCCTTAGAATGATGATGCTCTTGCTGAGGCTGCCAAGAAAAACTACCAAAATAGAGAAGAAAGTAGTTAACAGGAAATGAATATTTTTTTTAAATGAGTTTTAAACATTCCCATCTTTAGGTTGATGTAAGAATACTTTTTCATCGATTAAGCAGTTTTAGTGTACCTGGGGTATGTCCTCCTTCATCTTTGTGAAGCTCAATGTTCTATCAGATGTGAAAGGATGGGATTTTTTTTTCTAATGGGAAACTGACATGCTACAACAAGGTAACAGCCTCCTTTATGTCTGAGAATCCCTACATCCCATAAATATCTCTAGGAAATGAAAATAATGGGATGGCAGCATCTTAGTAAGAAGGGTTTTCCCCTACCACTCAGATTACATTGTATATTGAAATTGGCAAACAGATAAATTGGCAAGAGCTAGAGAATTTGTGGGGGGGGGGGCACAACCTCATCAATTTACCTTTTGACAATCTTGTACCCTCGATGTGATTCATATTGTGAGAATCATCAGGATGGTTTTAAAATATTAATTAAATAACCACCAAGAAGGTTGGCTATCTATGTTATGCCTCAATGAAAGCCCTGGGATGTCAGAATCAATAGATTCATTTTTTATTTGAGACCCACTGTAATGGAATAAAATACTTATGCTTACTTGCTGATCCTGTACACCATCCACCTCCATG